ATGAACGTTGTTGAGGGGCCTTCACTCTCGCAGAGTTTTGATGCGACCACCGCCGATAAGCTGCTTCTTCGCAAACTCGTCCTTGAGCATATCGACATAGTCCTCAAAGGTCCCTTCGAAAACAGTAACACTACCTGAAAATGATGCAACACTGACCACCCCAAGCAGCAACAATGACTGCTGACCAGGTCTCCAACCAGTTTTGGACGAGGCATCCTTCTTGCCAGGCATGACCACCCACAGCTCATCAGCTACCATGCTTACCAGACGCTCGTCGTGGGATACCAGAACGACACCACCTTCGAACCTAAAGAGGCGTTGCTGTATCACAGAGAGAAGGTACTTCGGTATTCACCTATTCAGGGCGAGGGCAAGGCCTTCAATAGTCTCCAAATCTAAATGGTTCGTGGGCTCATCCATAAGCAGCAGGTGAGGGTGCTTATAGGCGATTTGGGCAAAGATGACTCGAGACTTCTGACCTGAGGAGCCAGTGGATGCTCTTCGCGATAGGCACATGCTCAACTATACGACGATAATAACAGAATTTTGAGGGTATTTTAATGGTTTCGTACCCCCTCGATCAGAGTGATCTGAAAACATTCGTAATCCACAAGAAGAATGCCAAGCTCAAGAAGCGGAGCATACATTCCAACACTGCTCCATCCTAGAAAGCCGATCTCACCTCCACTCAGCGTCTCGATAGGCTGCAGGGCCAAGTCGCCAGCTAGACCGAAGTGACCTGATGCAAGGACCAAGGATAAAAGTATATACTCATTGGTGTTATGTTCAGATGACTATAACGGCGAGAGGCTCACAGACATAATCACAATACTCAAACAAACAAGACTCAAGCAAGCGCTTTAAACTGATCATTTTGATCATATTCCGTCACCCTTCGTTGACAGAATGCTGCATCAGAATATTGTACGGCACTTTGACCGCGAAACCTACCCAGATATTTCCGGCAGTTCTCAATGGAGATCTCGGGGTCCACTCTCCGCATAGTAGTGACTGCATTAACAGACAAGTCTAGTGCATCAACGTGATGCTGAGTGAACCTATT